TTACTGACATAAATGAACATTTGCACGATATTCTAATTTTTCGAGTTTCACCTGTATGTACGACTTCGCAGCCAGCATGGCTCAGTTGGAAAAGAGAAAACAAGAGGACTGTTAAATAGGTTTTCCTGCGGTGGTGTTGATCGAAAACAAAAGCCTCTTTTTACCAGTTCTAGTTGCAACGCTGGTTATGCACAAATAGTGGAAGTATCATGAAATAGATTAAGATTGGTAGAATCTGCGCATCACCGTGAAATATTCGTCTGACTAAACGTACATACAGACACATCGGATGTGCTGTTTGTGCACGGGCAACGCGCATTTTTAAGTTTGCAGATGCCTTCAGCGCTCCACATAAAAGCAGTATTTGTGAATACCATGTCCAATAAAACTAAAGTTAGAGAGACCCCCGTTTAGAAAGAAACCGCATCGAAGTGAAGATTTGCGTTCAGCCCAATTTCTGCACGCTTGCTTAGAAATAAAGTCCTCTCAAACAGAGTGCGACTTATTTCCCATTTAGCGTGCACAAGCACGCGACGAACGCCTGACGTCTGGTCCCTTTATTCTCCTCGTGGCCGTTTCCCTTCTGCATCAAAGAAACCCGGGAAAAGAAAGCCACCCAGCATTCGGCGCGGAACGCTTGAAACCGGCGCCGCGCTCAAAACGAACAGACACGCATGCCGGCGCCTCCGCTCTCCAAAAAGGGAAATAAAATGGCGGCGAAAAAGAGGGCGGGGAGAAAAGGAGAGATGCGCTCTTTTAACCCTCTAGCGCGCGAGGCTTAGTTCACGCCCCCTTTCTCCATTCTGATTGGAGGAGATGCCTATCTCCGGATCACGTGAGCGAGCGATCTCCCTTTCTCCTTCGTGCCACCCCTCCCCCCACGCTGCAGTTAGAGCCGGACGAAGTCGTCGGTGTTGCCGCTTCTGCGCGGGAACCGAACGCTCGAACGGCTGATCGACCGAACGCTTCGCGTGGGGATAGTTAGTACCGGTCGCCGTCGACGGGCCCTGCCCGGTCGGTAAGTAGGCGGCCGCGCAGCGTAGGCAGGCAGTGCTGAAGCTGATGATTTCCTCAGTGGAATAGGTTGGCCCGGGCGTGCGTGAAACATGCGTGGCGATCGGGTGGAGTGTCGTGGCATGGCGGGCGGATGGATGGATCTGCGGGTCACGGAGAACCTCCTGTCTGTCTCGCTCGGCACTCGCGCGCGCTCCATTGTGTTGAGGAAACAAAATGGCGGCGGATGGGCCAGGAGGCGAGGGGTGGAGAGTGAGCGGGGGAGAACGGTAATGGCGCGTGAGCGGCTTAACGGAAAGCGGGCAATAGTTGGAAGTGGGCGCGCTCGTTTGGTCTCCTGGCCTTCTAAACCTTGAATCGATGGAGTGGCACCTCATAATGACGCCTTTGCTCCTCCTGGTTACCGCAGCCTCCGCCCCCCCTCCCCGGACATCTTTCTCTGGGCTGCTGCTTCTGCCCTCGAGGTCCCCTTGAAGGGAAGGGGTGGTTTAGGCCCAGGGCCTGGGTCTCTTTCCAGGTAGCCACTAATGACATAATCGACCGTCCAACTTCGCATGGTTGCGCTTCTGGGGCCTGTTCCGTCTGGCCTTCCCCGCCTCCGGGTGGTTTCGCCTCTGCCTTTCTGTGGAGAGTACACGGTATTTTCTCGGCTCCGCGTCCGCTAAAGCTCGCTTATGTGTGTGCCCTTTGCCACCCTACTTGTTGGAAGCCGCCTTTAGAGCCTTAAGGCTCCAGACGCGTGGTGAAAAATGGGGCATGAACTTGTTCCCTCTTCCCTTGAGGACACGTCGTCTAGGCCCTGGCGGATGTGTGTCTGCGGGCATAGGAATCTTTCTTTCGGGATCGGAAGGTTTTGCCAGTAACCCCAGCTCCCTCGTGAAGTAACGGCCGGGCTGAGTTTTCTTTTGCATAATGTTTGCTTATAATTAATATATCAGTGGAATGATCAGGCAAATTGTTTCGAGATTACTGATAGAGACACAGTGTGAGGTTCTATCTATGTGATAGTTGTTTTCTCAATTAGCGTTCCACTTTTGTTTAAAGAGCAGCACAGCTTTTAAGCTTGGCCGGATATCCCAGTTTGCAAATAGCATGCTCCAGGATATCCAAATGTGAGACTTAGTGGTTGTGTTTGGACTGCACAAATTCAGTTGTTTTGTTGGGGTAACTGTATACGTTGTGTTTTGTTGGGATAATTGTATACATTGAACTTTGTGATAGAAATTCTGCTATTGTTTGGGGGTGAAATTCTTGTGATTAGTAACCTCCATATTTTAAATGGGTCCAATGTGCTACATGTCAAAAACTCTTTCTGTTATAAACCAATCTATTCTTAATGTGATATGCATGATGCACAGTCACATCGTTAATGTAAATGTTTGATTCTCTACCAAATTGCAAACCTTTCTGTTCTCTGAAGTTGGTGATGTTTTAAAATTCTTTTCAGAGTACCTGAACACAGTGCTAGTACAGCTTAAAAGACACAAGTTATTTCCTTTGGGGGAAAATCATCAAGGATCTGAAGGAAGCAAAATGGTAAGAATTTGCCATTCAGAAATGAAATGCAATACCATGTATTTTTGTTTTACTTATTTTACGTTTTAAATTTCAGCGGCCAATGCGTATTTTTGTAAATGATGACCGCCATGTTATGGCAAAGCATTCTGCAGTTTATCCAACTCAAGAAGAACTGACAGCAGTTCAGAACATGGTCTCTCACACTGAGCGTGCTCTCAAAGCTGTGTCTGACTGGATTAACGAACAAGAGAAAGGTAATAGTGAACAGCCAGAACCTGAGACCATGGAGACCGTAGCTGAAGAAGAGAACAAAGAAGGAAGGTATGTAACTTTATTCATAACTTGCTGTTGTATTCATAACAATCTTAGAGATGCTGACAAGTTTCTCAAAAGAATTTTCAGCTGCTTTAGATGCCAACAGCCATATTGAAGTTTACATTAACATTTTTAAATAGTAATTTTATTGAACATTACAATAAAAAAGATAAGAACTAATACAAACTAAAAGAAAAAATAGTGCAGAAAAAAGGAAAAAAATAAAAAGAAGAAAAAATAGAAAAGTAAGAATATAGTGCACCACCCAGAGTCACTTCTTGTGAGATTGGCAGCCATATAAATTTGATAAATAAATTAAAGAAATATAAAGAAATGACTTCCCCTTTCATAACAACAAATATAAATAATTTTAATAACTTACCACCTTCTCTTAAAGTACAACAAATGATCTCCTCTTCCCGTATCTCATTTCTTATCTATAAACAAATCTTTAAAGCGTTGTCATTCAGTCCTGGTCAGCAAAAATCCATTAAGGGTTAACAACATACCTATTTTAACCTTGATCAAATAAACCAGCTTTATATTCCTCCCTTTTACTTTTAGCAGTCTTGATCCTTACCGTATTTCTCCGACTGTAAGACGATACTTTTTTCTAAAATCCTTACGCTAAAAATTGAAGGGCGTCTTATACAAGGAAGTAAGCCGAGGAGAGAACCACGTGGTTGCAAAACT